AGAGCTGGTTTCTTATCAGAGTAACAGCAGCGTCTGCTCTCGTGCTCGCTCTTAATCTACCCACCCAAGGTTTCAAGTTTTGTTGTCCATGGCAATGTTGCCTTAAGCAATACTGACTCCCATATGCTCCATTTCCCAAGCCAGCAAAACACTTTTTAGAGCAGCCTGAGGCTAATATGAAGTCCTTCAGCTGACATACTGTCCAGAGATGTCTCCTCCAGGGAGAAGATATATGGAACAAAGTTTTCAAAGCAGGTCAGAATCATAAATGTCAGGAAGCAACAAAAAAAGAAGATTCTAAATCCCTTTTTATGTAGAAGTCCTCTTCCTTGCAGCTGAAGCTGGCTAGAAGACTTCTGCTTCCTGGCATATCTGGTTAAAAAAACTTTGTTGAGGGCCAAAAATGTAAGAGGGGTCTAGAGTGACTCAGAAGCTCCAAAGCAGAGTGTTGAGACGCAAAAAGTGCTGGCAGACTAATGAAGAGCAGGTATGTTTTTGCTGCACTATCAAACTCTTATATCTTTAAACTTTTTAATTCATGTTTTTCTTTTGTGGAATCCTGAAAGACAAGGCAGAAGCAATATAAATTTACTGCAAATGAAAAGGAATCCAGTCTTCTTTCAGCCTGTCCTGGTTACTAACACTTCAGCTGCCCTAAGATTTAGACTCTCACAAATTTTATTTCCTGTCTTCAGGGTATTAGAGAAAGACAACAAGGTGAGACTGATGGATTCAAATACCCCTCAGAAATCAAACAATTTTTGAAGGAGAGACCCAGAAGTAAAATAAAATGTACTTTTGCTTCAAGGTTTTTCTCTATACTATTTTTTTTCTCTTCATTGTGGTCCCTTGTTTCCCCACCCAGACAAAATGCAGCTATGACAACATGGAAATCCCCTGAGCAGCACAGCTCTGATAATAAGATTGTTCAGGTTCAGCCAAAATATTATGTCTGAAAAGTCTTTGTCTTTTAGTTTGCTCTAGTTGAAACAGGAAAAAAAGAAAAAAAAATCGAAGTGATAGCCCACTCAATTATAAACAAGATAAATTTAAAGTGAGAAGGTGCCATTTCCAGATAGTGATCAGTTTTCAAAGGAGAGACCTCCTTTATTGATATTTCTGGCTGAAAATTAGGTAGAAATTAGCTTAAGGGTTTCTAGTATAACATGATATTGGATATTATTAAGCCAAGTGCTCAAATCCTTAAATAAACTTTTCTAGAGCAAGTCAGGGGTAGACCTTAGGGATGTGAAGTCACCGAGACCCAATCTCATTGATTCAAGTTTGGTTTCAATGAGCTCAGGACAAGCATAGGAAACCTGGGAGGGAGAGACAAGGACTTACTACTCCTGAAGTGCCCCCAGCTGACTCAGACCTCTGAAAAAGGGTATTTATTGAAGGGATATTGTGTATTGCAGTACCCCAGATATTTCTGTAAGGGAAGTCAAGCTCTTGGTGGCTCCTTGGCCCCAGTGCCATGTCCAGCTCCTGCTCTGCTTTGCATCGGTGGTTGCTGTGGCCTGGCAAGATCCTCGTCTCTTTGTGGGTGGGAGATACCATAGAAGTCTGCCAAGCAGACATCTAACCCCTTCCTCACCTTGGGCTCTTTCTGTATTCGATGGAAAGAAATACATTTACTTAGGGGTAGGTTCATCTTTTGCATGTCTATGTTAGGATGAGATGAATCCTGCTCTCCACTGGCTCAACAGGAGTGAAGCCTGAAAAGCTCTGACAGGAATGTACACTGTAAAAACCTACATTTTGTCCAATGAATCCAAACCCATTCTTCTTTATCTATGTAGATTTAGTGCACCCACAGGGAACACTTTGGTGGGGAGCCCCAAGGTCCTGCCATGACGAAGGGCTTGACACAGGTATGAGAGATTGCCATCTACTAGGCAGCCTTGCTTCTCTGTCATGAAAAGGGGGACATTTCTTCCCATTAAAAGAGGGCAGGGGAGCCCAGAAAAATCCACTTTGCTACCCACTGATCCCTGCTCAGTGCAGCAAGTGACACCAGAGGACAGTCCCTGCATTCCTGGCAAGAAGGACATTTTTCTAGACATAGGGGCTGAGTTTTTATAATTTCAGTGAGTGGGTTAAATTATTTCCTTGCAAATTAAAAAGCTGCTGTGGCTTCCATATTAAGTATCCTTCTTATAGTGTCATCATTTTTCTGTTTGCTTGGGCATTGCTGCCAACTTTGCCCTCAGTTTCCTTTACACCTCCAACATAAAGCTTTTTTTGGTGCAGCCAGTGCAGGTCTTCAGCTCACTTGTAGTTAGCCACATCAGTCAGCCTCGTACATGGCCCTGCATTACGCTCTAGTATGCGTTGGTGTATACAACCACAGAAAGTGTGTGAAGGAAATATTTAACACCTCTTCATCTTCCTCTTTCTGTCTGTGCTTTGTCCAAAGCCTGAAAAAGTGTGACATATACCACTTCGTTTTCATGAGGTACACTTTGCAGAATTAGTCTTTTAAATCACAGATTTTCTGGGTCAGCAATGCTGTTATGTGGGACTTTATAAAATCATAGGATGGTTTGGGTTAGAAGGGACCTTCAAAGATCACCTAGTCCACCTCCCCTCCTGTGGGCAGAGACATCTTTCACTAGATCAGGTTGCTCACAGCCTCATCCAGCCTTATCTTGAACACTTCCAGTGTTGGGGCATCCAAAACATCTCTGGGCAATCTGTGCCAGTGTCTCACCACCCTCATCTTAAAAATGTCTTCCCTATGTCCAATCTAAATCTATCCTCATTAAGTTTAAAACCATTACTTCCTTTCGTGGCACTTCAGGCCCTACTAAAAAGTCCCTCCCCATCTTTCCTATAAGTCCCCTTCAGGGAGCTACTGGAAGGCTGCTATAAGGACTCTATGGAGCCTTCTCTTCTCCAGGCTGAACCCCAACTCTCTCAGCCTGTCCTCATAGGAGAGGTGCTCCATCCCCTTGATAATTTCTATGGCTCTCCTCTGGACCCGCTCCAACAGGTCCACGTCTTTCATGATTCAGGCACCAGAGCTGGATGGACTGATGAGACCCTGCTTGGGTCTCACCAGAGTGGAGTAGAGTGGAAGAATCACCTCCCTCAGCCTGCTGGCCATGCTTCTTTTAATGCCAGCACTTAAAGAATAAATAATAGCAATTACAATTAGCGTTTTGCAACTAGAAGATTTTTCTCCCGTGGACCTGTGTAGCTCCTTTGAGAGGAAAGTGAATGAGTGGACTAAAACTTGCTCTCAGTGAAATCAGCAGCAAAAATCCCACTAGCCAAGAGAAAAACACCATCCATGAAATATGCTCCCAGCCCACTGGACATGACCAGATTTGGCCCCGTGTGTCAATGGTCTTGATCCAGAAGGTCCTTAGTTTTGAAATGAGAAGCAAGTTTCAAAGTAAAAGCTCTGCAAATATCTTTAGGCTGGCTTCCTGCTCTCTGCCACTCACCATCCTTGTCGGCATGTTTACATTTCCCCTTGCCTGCGGTCTCTTTATCAGGCAATGGGTTTGTTCTGCATCTAGTATAAAGTACATGAGCGCGGGTTTCACACACACATGCACTGCACACATGCTGTGAGCTCAGGATGACACAGACCAGTACAGTATTGAGCATTTTCGTCTTGTTTCTTCACACCACTTTTGGGGAAAGTGGTTGCACCTCAGCAGATGGTGATGGTGAGTCATTTCGTGTTCATGTTTCCACTCGCGTATGATCTCGAAAAACCTGAATTAAGAGCTCCAAATGCAACTGCTGGGTTGAATGTGTTAGTGGTTTAGCCTCCAGTCTCTTTCTTTTAGTACCAGTACCTGAGGCGGATGTGGATCTGGAGGATACCTATTTAATTTAATTACGAAGTCTGTTCTCCTTGCACTGTCCAATTTCTTACGAAATGCGGGAGACCACAGCTGTACACAGAGGATGTGCAAGGTCAGACCTGTTAATACTTTCTCACTGTATCTGGTCTCCATGTGAGGAGTTATGCCTGGGAGCGGGGAGCCGCTTCCCTCTGCTGCAGCCCATGATCATTCTGAGCTGCCATCAGAGAGGGGTGAGGACCTGCCTTCTCTTGCTCTTGGCAGTTTCCTCCAAATAAAATGTTTCAATGTACCTCAAACTTGCCTCACGCTGTTCCACTTCAAAAGCTAATCTTTTTATCATTTTTCTTGAAGCGATCACATTAGCTGTATCTGGGAATGGCCCCCGTTTCCTTCTTTGTATGTCTGAAGCAGCAGCTCAACCAGGGGGTTCTCAGAGCCCAACTCTAAAAGCATTCATTCCTTACTCACCAAATAATTATAAATAAATTCAACAGTTTAAATTCAGGCTTATTACAGATTTCATTATCGCATTTAGACTGGTGAAAATTATTTAGCAGCATCAAAGTAAAAAAGAGCAGCAATAAAGCCACTGTTTCAGTCTGCTGTTCCTTTTCCCAGAGGCGAGCTGAAATATTTGATTTACAGATTCAGTCTGAGATCTGTAAAACTTTTATTTGTCTAATACTAAACAAGCAGCCATAACAGAGCTCACTGAACTGTGCCTGAAGAACATGGGCAGTCACTCAGTTACTGACAGATTTAGGGCTCCATTGTTTGGGAGAAAAAGAGGTCTTGGCTTTTAAGAAGATAATGGCTGTGTTCCTATACTATCTCACAGATAGGGAATCTCATTTGTGTGTGTCATGTATTATAACATGTATATGTGTATACATATGTGCATACATACATATATACATAGATAGGATATGCATGATAAGTTTTTTAGTTAGAAGAAAACAGGGAGCGGCTCAGAACATTGTTTTTTCTGTTCGCCTTTTATTTATACAATTGACCGCTGTTTATGACCAGCTTTGGCAAGCTGCTATGGTGGTGAATGGTAAAGGCTAGTGATTTATAGCTAGTGACGCTGAAATCTTTAGGGCTTCCCAAAAGCAGATATGACTGGACCTTTCCTTGTTTTGTCACTAACTTCCAGTAAACCATAATTATCCTTTGCTTAGAATTAAAGACAAACAGATTCAGAAAATCCCCGCTGAGTAATCAGCAGCTTTTATGATTTCTTTATAAGTCTCATGGGTTTGGCCAACAAATTAAACAATCCAGGGCAAAATGACATGTGATGGGTGATTGGCTTTCACTCTTTGCCCTTCCATCTCGCCCTGCCTCCTGGCAAAGTGTCGCCAGCCACTGCAGGGGTGTCAGCTCACCCCTTCCTATGGGCAGAGGATGGAAAAGCTCATTGTGGCACTTGCCTTCATCTCCTTTTGTTCGCTGAGTGGCAGGCTGCCTCCTCAGCTGTCCCCCAGCCTGGCAGAGGTGGTGGAGACCCTAAAACCCCTGAGAGAGCTACCAGTAGAGCTAAGAAGGGGCAGCAATGGAGGCGCAGGAGGGCACGGGCAGGGGGAGCAGGAGACGGTGTGCTGTGAGGTCTCGTGGACAGGATGGCTGCCTTCAGTGGCCCTCCTACCCAGATTTGTATGGTTTGTCCAACCCACATCCAAACTGTTGCGATTAAAATTAGATCTGCCTGAATCAGATCAGCATTAGAGATACTTCATGGCTGTCCTTGGTGATGATCGCTTCATTGACTTTGGAAATTCAGTCACTGATCCTGCAGGTGCACCCTGCTGGGTGTTGTCCAAACCCAAGAGAACCATTTCTGCGAAGGACCTGCCATGGCCGTGGCTATGAGAGCAGTTTTTCTCCCACTAGGATTGCCTCATCTCAAGCCCTGCATTGATTTCAACAGAGCCACGCACTGCCTAGTCTGGGCTTCTCAAGGAAATATTATAATCTTGTAAACCTTTAATTGTGTAAAGAGTCCTTAGCCATATGAGTCCTGCTGGAGTCATCAAAACCATTTATGTAGCAAACACATTTGTGCATGGTTGTTCTGAGGTTTAAGGAAGAAGTGTAACTGATGCTACATGCATATTTATATCAGACAAAAAAATTTACTGTCAGTCCGTGGAGGAACCATACCAGAAAAAAAAATCAAATTGCTTACTTAACACCATTCATGAGGTTTAATTATAATGTATTCTATGGTCAGGAAGTTATTTCCATGAATAAGGAACCACATAATCACAATGTGAAAGTTCAGTGTCAGAGAAATAAAGTCAGCTCTCCCTCTAGTCTGGCACCAAAGGTGCACTATGCTGGTTAAACATTAAATGGCTGTTTGAACTGCAAGACAAAACCTTTTGCTTTCTTTTCACTTTGCAATCAGCTTGACAGAGAAAGAATTAAAATTCCTTTCACTTTTCAGCAAAGCAGTAGCAGGCAGTTGAGAGATTTTCTCTGATATGCTATTTATTAATATGATGATTATCAGTTTTGTGAGTTTATTAAAAATCTGGTATATGTAGTTTTTCTATACAGAGAGCACCAAGCACTCTCTCTCTTATATAAAGGAAGGCTGGTCATTCTAAGCTTTAATGTTGTGTTGAAGTAGCTATGAGTATAAATAAGCCGATGTCCTGGTAGTTTCAAGTAAAGTCTTAGAGATGCATAAAATGCAACATACCTGCTCATTTGAGCCTTGGGTGTATCTATCTGTATAAAATATGGCGGGTTTTCCATTTTATGCAGATTAATTTCAGCGTGCTTGTTATCCTCTGAATATTTGTATATCTATGCGCACACCCTTTTACCCACAAATATGTAACTTTATGTAACATACATTACTGTAGATATGTGTTTGCCCAGATGGCTCAGGGCTGCCTTGTTCAAGACTCAACTGTGGGAAACAGCTGCAGGGCTTTTTGTGGAGCTGTGCTGGCCTCTGTGTCCCTCTCTTAACTGTGATGGTTAAACGGAGAGAGAGGCTTTGTATAGCACTTGCTTTGTCCATGTCCGTGCTGCACAGGGTATCCCTTCAAACCTGCAGTGCTGGTAGAAGATGCCACATTTCGGTGTCCTTCAGGGAGTGCTGGGCTCTCCTTGGGACAGACACCGCCAGAGCTGTGGTGAGAAGGGAGGACTGGTAATTACTTCTTAGCACCAGTTGCTCATGGTGGAAAATGGTCACTAAATCTTAGCTTAGGAGATAGATCTGCCTCTGGGTTCTGGATTAGTGCAGCATCAGTTGGTCTCATCTCTCCTGCTGCACACGATGGGTGATGGTGGCAGCAGCTCCCTTCTTAGCCCCTGCCCACAACCCATTTGCACTTTTCTCTGCATTTCTGAATGACTTCTGAATGTCTTCTCTTACTCAAAACCCGACACAAGGAGCAACTCAGCCCTGAGGTCAGGAGGAAGCAGTGCTGATAGCAACCCTAGGGAATAATGCTCCTTACTTACATTTTAAAGCAATAAAAAAATGCTTCTCTGTTGTCTTCCTGCTGTCAAACCATGACCATTTTGGACCTTCATCTGTTCTGGACAAGGTCTGAGTCTCTCTGTTTGCTGGCAGGATTGTCCAGGGATCATAAGGTGTCACCGCCACGACTATGACTCATGATATCCAAGTAGCTG